TATGCTCACATTTCAAGAAATCTATGTTTAGTGTGTATAATGGCCTACTCACTTCCAAAAACACTGACCATGTAGCTTCTTTCCTCCAAAAACGAAGCTTCTGTACATACTTTACCTACGATGTGCACTAGTTTCTTACTACATGCTGTCTTTACTTGAATGGGATCTCAGCGCCTACTGGAGAAAATATACTGTTTTGAGCCTCAAAGTCTGTGGAAAATAGCCCAATGTAGAGTACTGGCTACATCTAACATCACGGGCAGTCGTTGTTACTGACCAAAGTCTAACTTTGGGAAGGTTGTTAAGCATTGGAGAATGAAACACATCAGCCCCGTGTCTATGTCACATATGCGATTCAACTTTTCAATGCATTTATCAGTTATTTTTCAACAGGTATTTATTGCTAAGTGTTAAGTCTAGATTAAAGTACACATCTGCAGACAGTGCCTCTTAGCCTGCACATAGAAGCTGCTCTTACATATTAAGTCTGATGCCTTTCATTTTATCTCTGTGTGTCATTCAGTAATTTCTATTCATGCCTTTTTAAGCAGTTCATTACTGGTCTACTCAGGGGCCAAATATGTAAGCGGTGGGCTTGAATACATGGGAAAAGCTGACCCTCAGTGCCAAGGAGTTACCATATTAAAGTGCCAAATTAGCCATTTCCTGTAACAGTTTTCAGGCTAACTTTCAGTAAATGACTTTGTCCATGTGTTTATTATTCAGATGTAAACCCACAAACTTGGCATGAAAATGACATTACAGTGCTGTAATCACAGACTAATCTTCTACAGAGACAGCCACTACATGCCCAAACTGTGTCCCTCTAACAGGACTTCTCCACGTTCAGAAGCAGCAGCTTGTGAGCAACTTAATTCAAACTGTGTTACGTCACCCACTGCTGAAGGTAACACTGACAGGCACTGTTTCTGAAAATCTCCATGCAACTCCATAAAATTCAGAGCGTTTTTTAGCAAATGATGACTGAATGGGAAAGAATGCACTGAAATCATAGAATTGAACTCAGTACAAAATAAAATCACTCTTATCTTGATTGCTAACATTCTCTGTATCTAAATGTAACATACTCCTCAAGGTCTTCATAGATCATAGAATCATAGAATCACAAGGTTGGAAACGACCTACAAGATCATCTAGTCCAACCATCTCCTCATCACCACTGCCACCACAAGCACTAAACTTGGGGACAAATTCCCCTTCTCTCCATTCAGTGTGTGATAACCATATTTTATTGCATTTGTTAAAGCATAAATAATGTTGTCGTGGCTATTGATAAACAGTTTTCTCTATCTGATCAGACCTACTTATTTTAGATTGCAAGTGGTTTTAGAAGATGAAGATCTTAAAACGTGAGAGTAGCTTAGTAGCTTGTGAAGGTAAAAACCCGCCAAGAAATTTGAAATTTAAGCTGACTTTGTCAGCCTCACATCTTGTGTTCTAAGTTGTAGGTTGATCTTGCGCACCATGGCATTGCTTACGGTGTTCTTGAGGAATCCTGAGGTGGAAACAAAGTAACTTATGATATCACTTCACCGTCTCTGGCTTCTATCAGCACAAAACTACATTTTTGGCTAGTGTTATAACACAGGTGCCCTGAACTACTTTTGGCTTTTCTGAGGAATCAAGCTGATCGATGGAGAAAGCACAAGACTTCACTCTTGATTTTTGTTATTTTTGTAGCTTTTCATCATTAAAAATGTATATCGTTAATATTAATCACAGAAAATCATGTAGGTTTACATTTTATTATTTTACAGAAGCCATGCTTAACTGATGTTATAATTGAAAAAAAAAACCAGCAAATCAAGTCATAGGATCCCAAGCGTATGTTTGCTGTCAACAAAGTGACAGCAGGACTCTCCGGGACTTCAATTAGTATTAGACTGTAGTCTTCATATTGCCATTTAAAAGTATTCCCCTCCATGTCCCCACATAAATTATTAAGCTATTCAAATTCAATAGGATAGAAGTGTGAGATGGAAAAGTGTGCATTAAGTATGCGACAAAGTGATCAAAGAAAGGCAATTCTGAGAGATGTCACTCTGGCTGATAGGGGGGGGGGCTGTCTCTCTAAATGCCTGGTCATTTTGTATCTGATCACTGCTTGTGTCAACAAGAACCAGAGATCTTCCCTTCTCTATTCCAATGATTATATAACAGAGAACAATAAGAAAATAATCTTTCAGCATACTGCAAAAAACAAACAAGCCCAACAGAAAACCTAGGAACTGATGTCTAAGTGCTTATGTATTCACCTGTTGCTCTCCCAGTATCTTCCTGAATGTTCTGCTTTGCAAGAGTCAGTTAGGGAAAAGCATGTAACTAATGATGAAATTCTTTATCTGGATAAAACACCTTGTTCCAGTAAGCAGCATTTTAGCTTTTCTCTTTTTAGCTTTTATTCCACAAATTAATCAAATAGCTGCTGTTTTCCAGTAATTCAGACTTGTCATATAAATACATTTAATTATTGCATAGTTAGCTGTATAAGATAAAGGGGTTCTACTCAACTGCCTTTCCAAGAAGATCTGAATTTTCTAGCATTTTAAAGTGCCTATTGAACTAGCAGAAAGCTAAGTCAATGATCTAACGGAGAAAAAATAAACAGAAATACATGAGTAGTGGTCCAAATTCACACTGTATTTTCTGAAACACAGGAAACTAATATTAACTCCAGATTATAAATAAAACCAGCTAGCTGATTGCTTGTCTGATTGGTTCTTCCTGTGGGCATCTTTCATACTTAAAAATTCTCGCCTTAACATATAAAAAAAATATTCTGAAGTCATTTAACATTTCATATATCAGTGCAGCTATGACTTAAAACACCGGCATTGTGCAGTAGATTATATCGTCAAAAAATTGCACCAATTAATAAATGTTAGAAATGGAAGCAATTTGTATTGAGGTCACAATAAAGATTCAGTACACAAAAAAATCTTTATATGACTTAATTCCAAGCCCAGTAGATTTCTTACGACCTCCTTGCAGCTGTACTCTCATTCTTTAAAAGGAAAATATATGCTATATAGAAAAATAACTTCTTTCCATTCTTTGAAAAAGTTAACAAGATTTGGGCAACGGAAGCATGGTTATGCATCATAATGACTAATAAAAATGGTTATCAGCAGAGAAGGTTTTCACAGGTGCAGTGAAATTCAAAGCCACGTGACTTAATTCTCTGCTCCATCAGAAAACCTCTGAGAGATCAGAGATATAAAGTTATGAAAAAATCCTGAAGATCTGCTGTAAATTCAAACTGCTGCTCCGGAAAAAGGTTCTTTGCTTTTAGGAGCTCACATGTGCCAACAGGAAGCAGCTTCACACTGGGAGGAAACCATGAGGCTTTGCGGGAAGCAGTGTCTTTCAGACACCTCAACCTTGCGTTGTACACACCATACCTGCTCTAACCACAAAACTGCTAATGTGTCTCCTTCTGCCTTTATCACCAAATGATTTTAGACATATACTGAGGAGAAGTAAAGAGTTCATGTTGTTATGTGAACAGGGACTGGTATACTTCACTGATGTTACCTGAGCTACAAGAGATGAAGCAGAAGTCTTCCTTTACTTTCCCTCCAACATCATGGACACAAAGAAGTTCTTAACAGATGCTACCCTCATTCAATTCAGGCAATTCCTGTCTTTATTTGCATTCTCTAAAACTTCTCTGATATTCACGAATACACATCAAATGAATACAAAAGCCTGACACAATATCGCTACATGATAACATGGGCTCCAGCTCAGGAAATTAATAAGCATTTTGTAAACTCTTCTGAAATTAAAACTCTGACTAGAGTTTTATTAACTTTAAGACCTTTGGATCTGAAAATCAAATTAGATTTCCCCTCACCTAGGCATAGTAGGCAGTCAAAAAAGACACTTCATTCCATGTCTTGTAATTTGTACTTGTGGAACAGAGAGAAGAAAATGATCGTTGATCTAAATTAATTAAACACTTTTCTCGTTGACATGTAGGTGGCTTTTTCCCATCAGTTCATTTGCTGGCTAAGAAATTATTGTTTGTTCCCCTCGTTATCAACTTTCACAGCACCACTAACAAGGAGCAGTGTAGAAAATCATGCATTTTGGTCAACAAAGCCAATAGGTATGAGTGCAAATGTACATTAGCATCAGAGTTGTTTACGAAGGAAGAGTTTTATTAATTTTTAAAGTATAACTGCATTCCAAGCTTTGAGCTGGGTTGAAGGGCCAGTTTTGGAGGAATTAGAGAACTCTTCAAAAGAGATAAAAATTTATCTCTTCCCTCATAGCTGTCTTCATTTGAAGCCAAAAGACATTTGTGTTCATTTCCACTAGAATTTAAAGATCCATAACACGGAAAACTTGTTCTGATAGCAATAATTGCAGAAGAGGGCAGTTCACAGCCTTCTTTGTGCTGGAATAGTGGTGGTGATTCTCCACAACTTGGTTCAAATTTTGAAAGAAAAGGAGAGAATCGTAGAAGTGTCAAACAGAACATGTTTTTGTAGTTTTTGTAAGGATCATGGGAAACTGATTCTGAGAATTCAGTCAACACTATCAGGATAACTGCTCTGTGCATACCTCAAGTCCTATCTTCCTTCTTCAGACACTGCTATAGGAGAAACCACCATGCAGCATGGAAGCGTTGAAAGTTCTCATGGCTTAAAAATTTCAGGAACAAGTTATCTCAGTTACTTTTAGAGGGAAATCCTATTTACTTTTTGAAATTATGAAGGTCTTTGGAGACAACATCTGATAGCTAATCGTTTTTGACCTATATAGGTAAATTTGAAGAGAGGGTTTTCTGTACAGAGCTCCGTACACTTACTACCTGCACTGCTCCTTTAGTCCTCCCCTTGGAGCAACTTATCTGCATGACAAAATACCCTAGAAAGCCGAAGTTATTGTAAAAAGAATAAGGAATCAGATGTGACATCCTTAAACAAAACAAACAAAATCATTAATTTATCAACAGTCTTAAAAAAACTTACCTTTAAAATTTGGTCTGATTCTAGCATCATACCCTGATGTCCTCCCCATCAGTTTGTCCAAAAAATCTGAAGGAGACAGGGTCTGTGAGGGGGATTTTCCAGATCTTGAATCATGTTCTTTACAGAAAGTCGTCCTAAATAAATTATTAGCCATCATTAGTTAGTATTTAGCTAGTAAATACAAAATGTAGCTAGCTAGTTATTTAGCCACTTAGCTAGTATTTCATTCAAGTCAGGGAAAAAAATTATAACAATGAATAACATTGTCTCAATTAACTGAATGCAGCAAATAAGATTTTTATAGAATGATATCATATATTTTTCATTAGAAAACTTTATGCTAGAAATAAAAATGAATTTTGGATAGCATGCATGGACACATTTTGCTGTTCAAAACAAACCCCCTCCACTTTAAAAATAAATGTATTTTAGCTTTAAAAATTTAGAAGACTCAGTCTATTTTTTTAAAAAAAATGTGTAAAGAAATCTTACAGGAATTTTGATATCTAACTCATATCACTGATTTAATTAGGAGTATATTGTTAAAATTTATGCCTTTTAGCACTGATTCAAGGTGATTGTAAACTTCCAAACAATAGGAGTCATCACTCATCAAGCAGATCTGCTACATGTTGGTTTTGTGAATATTAGAAAGGACGTAGATGCAAAAAAATGTTCTTTATAGATGCCACTCAAAGAAGATTGAAATCATGCTAGTGAATGTCTGGCTTCTTCACCAGGAAAAAAGGTTTCAGTCAGTCATACATGATCTTAGTGATTTGTTTTGGTCTTTTTTTCACCAATTAACATCAAATAGTAAATGATCAGTATTATCACCAGCTGGTATTTATATGCAAGCTCCTGAACATATGCCTGTTTTCAGATTTGAAAAGTAAACTTCTGGTACCAGACTATGCATATGAAACTTCATATAGATAACAAATTACATACTTCAAGCACAGTAAGTATTTCAGAAAAAAAGAATTTATCAGTTCCCTCAGGTCATTCTGTAGGGAAAATAAACTAGTAATGAAATAGTCATATTTGGTGTGCAGAGGCACAGATTTCATCACAAGCAGCACTATCTTGGTTCCTAAATAACCAATATCATGGTATCTGTGCTTCAATATATTCATTGAGCTACTAAAAGTAATAAAAGCACTGTCTTCTTAACTACTCTCTATTTAAATATTTGCCCAAAGGGAACCACTTCGTTTCAGGAGTCTTGTTCTTTGTTGTGCATTTACATGTAAGCATACTAAATAATACTAAATAACACTAAATTCTTTCTCTTTTTATAAAGCCATCCAAACTGCTAAAAGGCAATGTGACAGTAAATCTTGTAATGCTAGTCCCCACTTTTTCAGTTCTATATATGGGGGAGGAGGGAGGGAGTTGCTTTTTTTTTTTTTTTTTTGCTTTTGTTGTTGGTGTGACACTCTTATATCTCTAATTTTTAATATAAAATAGATGGTATTTGCCACTTAAATACTAGAAATGTTCAGATAAGATAATAAAAACTTGAAAACTAATCCAGTCTAATTATTTTGGATGATACTCTACAGTCTACTTCTGTCTCCTTTCAGTGTCCACTAGTGATAAGTTGTGCTGTCATCTCACGTGTGCAAACTCGTGAATACAAACATTTTTTTCACTCAGACACCGTATAAATACGTTATTACACATATAAAAGCATTCTGTATGTTTACATATAGATACATAGCTTTGTACATGAAGATAAGGAATCTCAGCTGAAATGGTGTTTTGGTGAATAGCAATGACTTGTTTGCCTTGTATCGCAAGAAGTCAGCAGCTGAAGCAAAAACTCATCAAGCGTTAGAAATAAAATAAAAAGAGAAAATAAAAATTAGAAGCAATAATCCGATGTACTGATACTTTATATTAGCATAGTACTGGTTTAATTAGGTATCTTTCCAAAATCAGAAGACTGGATTTCTAATTTCAAATAACTACATCCCTGACAAATCTGGTTGATCATTTCCAGAGCCTGAAGAGGAGGGAACCAAAGCAACTTCCTACATAAGCTCTGGAGGGAGTACAAAGATTAAATAGCATTTGGAAGAAAAACTGAAGAAACTGTTTTCAGTTATATTGATAATCAGTAACAAAGCATGTAGTTGTATCAGAGAAATGGAAAATAGATCACCCAAACTTGAATATTTTTTGGTGTTTGTTACCAAGCAACGAGTCTCTGAGTGTAAAAAGGAAAGTCTATATAGAATGAACACAAAGCACTCTCAAATATAGCAAACAAACTAGGTAACGTGATATAGTTTCTCTACAGTTATGATGTCCACATTCTTTGAGAAATATCATTACAAAGAGCCATATCACCTACCTGAAATGGTTTGTCTCTAAGAAAAATGCAAATAAGGTTGTCAAAATTTTCACTAGCTGCCGGTTCATTCCTCCTGCTTTCTGTGTTGATTTGGAAAATATCCCAGAAACGATTCCAGAGAGATGCAGGGAGAAAGTATGCTGGTGCTGCCTAGATTCCCAAATTCAGCAATAATTTATTTTTCTTGACAATCAGGAAAAGAAGGTCTGGATCTCTACAAACTGGGGATAAAAAAGAAATGCCAGTCCTTGGAATCATGGTCAGGTCAAGCCTAGGCTCATCTCCAGCAGCCAACAGAAAATATACAAAGCATCAGACCTGGTTATTCCCCACCTTGCTTTGACTGGGTGATGAAGGAAAAAAAAGAAAAAAAAATAGAAAGGAAGGAAAAAAATAAAAAGGAAAAAAAAAAAAAGAAAAAAAAAAAAGAAAAAAAAAAAAAAAAAAA